ATGAGACATGATGATGATTGATTTATATTCATGCTGCGACCATACCATCTTTACATGTTATTATGTGCATAGTAGTGAGCACTCTTTTATCATTTGTGCTCATTCCCACCTTCTCTTCACGTATGCAGGTTAAGCAGTGGCCGGATGATGGGGCGAATGGCGAGTGGTGGTCTATTAGTTATTTCATTTTGCTTCCGTTTTAATAATGTGGTCTTTATGAACCCTATTCATATTTTGAACATATGAAACTGTTTTTGAACTATGCTTGATGTTTGGGAAATAATTTGGTAAACCCTTTTTGAACCTTGGATAATCATGGTGATTAATTTTTGAAGTTCCATTGTTCATATCGATTATTATGTTGAGATGTGAATCAGGTTAATGAAAACCTTGTGAAAAATCGGGTTTAAGAATCCCCGTGAATCCAGTCACGACTTGAAGTAGTTAAATTGTGTTGGTTAATGCCCTTGACTTTCGAAAATGAATTCGAAAAATTTGTTCTGGTTTTCTTTAAAATCAAAGTGGGGTGTTATAGTTTGGTATCAGAGCCAGTTTGCGTTTCTGTAGACTGGTTTATCTGTGATTATGTGATTTTGACCTTGTATTGACCACTCGTCTCCGTCATGCCGCACTGCTTAAGGTATGTTTTTATTTAAGTATTATCGAAAATGCTTAATGAGTAAATTGTGGATTTGTACACATGTAACAATGAAATTATTTGTGTAGAGTATTGTTATTTTTGGGGCTTAGGATCTTTCCACCTTGATGTAATCGAACTCTAGTGTTTAAAAGCGAACTCTAGACTTCTGGAATCATGATTTTCTTGTTGTTTTGTGCTAAACATTGTTCGGCTTATTCAATGTAGAGCTATGAATACCCGCAACAATCGTAACCGTCAGCTATCTCTGTCTCCTTCCCCGCCTCCTCGTTATCACCAGGCCCCTCCGGCCATGGACTTGACCCAGCTCATAGTCCAGTTTCAAAGAATGAATGCACCGACTTTCGCAGGGACTGAGAACCCCACTGCAGTACTGGAATGGATTAAAGAGCTGGATAAGATTTTCGCTGTACTTCCTCTCCCGGACCGACAACATGTATCACTCGCAGCTTATCAGATTAAGGAGGACGCTTCTGACTGGTGGATCGACCACTGGGCTCGGAAGCCAGAGGCAGAGCTTCATGCTCTCACTTGGGAGC